CCATCACATACACAGGACGACCCCTGACCCTTCCCTCCTTCGGGGATGCTGGGATGCTAGGTGCAGACTACCAGCCGGCTTGGGCATGTCAGTGCCTTTACACTTTGCTTTTCCATCTTTAGCTAGCTCCTGCGGTCGTCTTGTGAGCGGCGCAGCGACGTCCACTCTGCGTGTGACCCCGCCGCCTCTTCTATTTCGGGAGGACTCTGTGATCGCCCCCCCGCGCCGCGGCCGCGGCCGTTTTGGTTGCGGGCGCGGGGCGGGGGGGCGGTTTCCGGGACCTCCCGACTCTTCATGTCATCTACATTATATTCTTTTTTTTTCGGTGTCGGTGCCCCCGGCGCCCGACGACCCCAACCTCCTCTCTGGGCTGGGATCGGCGGACGGCGGGGACACCCTTTTCCGGGACACCATATATATTTTTTTATTCATCCTTATGTATTGTCATTATATATATTCTCACTCCATTATATCGTATTTATTTTCTTTCCTATCTCGGGGGGGGAGTTCCGGGTCCATCAAGAAGTTCGCCGGTCTCTCTCCCTTCTCTTCCGCGCCTCCCCTGTTCTTCAGGGGTTGGTACGATCCCCCCTCACAAGGGGGATCTAAAGCAATATTTTCAAGGTACCCCTAACTAAGAACAATTCAGCTAAAGGAAAAAAAAAAAAAAAAAAAAAAAAAAAACCTAACCAACCTAACCGCCGCACCTCGAAGAGTGAACATCGTTTTGCGTGCGCTCCGTGGAAATAAATTCAAAAGAGTGGGTTTTACGCGTATCCCCCCCCCCCCCCCCGACGATCAATAGACGCGTAATCACAAGATCTACACGGGGACGTATCGTTGGAAAAGATATTCGCGAAAAAAAAAAAAAAAAAAAAAAAAAAAAAAAAGTGAAAATGGAGTGATTTAGAACCGGATAGAACCTGAGCTATGACGCTCTTGAGGCGCGCGAGCGTCGCTCGGTTAGGACTGTTCGGTTGCCGCTCCATGTAACAACCAACTTGTGCGGCGCGGACGGTTCATTCTTAACATCAAGACAGCGATTTTGAGTGAGTGCTGGGACCGATACGGAGGTCCCAATGCAAGAGACGGAGCTATCCCACGGGAGACGACAATCCACGCTACCAACGTATTCAATTTGGACGACACGTAGGGCTCCGGTCCCGCTCAGAATTCAGGTACTTTTGCTGCCTTTGTGATTTGTGATTTGTGATTCATGAACGCTATTTTGTTGTCCATCCTAACATCCTAACATCGACGAAACGAACGAGATCTTTCACCCTACATCCTAACATCGACGAAACGAGCGAAACTTTCTCACCCTAACATCCTAACACCGACGAAACGAGCGAAGCTTACTCACCCTAACACCCTAACATGGACTGCGGTTAGGATCCGCTCTGTTAGGATCCACGTTAATGACGCAACACATACCCTAACATCAATGTGCGAAACCGTCTTGCCTGGGAAGTCGTACGGAGCGCACGCGTCTCGGGTCGCTCCTTCCCCATATTCAAATAATTAATACAATTCTACTCTAAAATCATCTCAAATAGTTTACTCAAGTATAATTAACCTAATTTCTTCTAAATCAAGTGTAAATAATCAAGTTAATAGACAATTAAATCAAAATTCAGTGAAAAACTATTCAAAGTGTTCCGATCGGTTAAGGTGAAACCGAATGAGACGTTAATATAACGCGTAAAAACCTTCAAAAAGTGCCTCCTGGAGGAAAACTAGATTTTCACTTAAGTGAGTACCCGGAGTGAACATAAACTTATCGGTTCCCATCGAAGGTAACCTAAATACTTAGTGAAAAGTGCTCAGTGCGATCAGTTCGGTTAAGGTCAATCGGAACATTGCTCCGAAACATCGGGTAAAAGACTTTTACCAATGTGCCTCTTGGAGGAAAGCTAAATACCAAAAAGTGAGTACTTGGAGTATAAACGCGGGACATTTTTAATAATACTTAGCCGATTTTCTACTATTGTTAAGATCGTTCAGGTCCGTTAAGGTCTACCGGAACAAAGTGTAAATACACAGACAATAAGTTAAATACGTCATCGCCCTCTCGAGATAAGCTGGGTAACTACATAGTGAACATTAGGAGTGTGAATTCGGAACTTTTTCTCTCTAATTTCCACTATTTTCAAGCATAGGTTCACATTATTTGAACCGTTAAGACTGTACAGTTCAGTTGTGTTAAAGTGCATCAGAATAGAGGACTTAAAACAACTACAAAGTGACTATTACCTCGGTGCATGCCACTATAAATTCATACTACTAAATAACAAGAGTTAGGAGTGAACGAACATTCAAATTCCTCATCAAATTCCGACTTTTCAACACATTCGTTAAAATTGTTCAGTACAACCTGAACGCATTTGAACAAAGTGTTAAGATCATTAAGTTAAGGTTGTTCAGTTCAACCTGAACACATTAGAACAAAGTGTTAAGTTCCGCTCAGTTCTGTTTCGTCTTGTTCGGATCGGACAGTGCACACCCGAACGAAGCGTTAAACGGTCGTTAAAAACAGTAGTTTTGCGCTTTCCCCTCTGAGTATAAATAAATAAATAATTGTAATATAATACAGTGAGAACTAGTGCCTAAAAACCTTTTTAATTAATAAATTTTTAATTTCTCTAGCCAAAACAATTACTTCAGAGAAGTTAAAAGACTATTCTGATCACGTCAAAGCCGATCGGTTCATGTTCAGGTTGCTCGGTTCACATAGTCTACACCTGAACACAGTGCTTTAAAAAAAAACAATATAACAAGATCATTACTCGAGTGTTCATATTACGAAGCTATCATGCGACTATCATAACTTTTGTACTGGTGCGGTTCGGTACTATTAATTAATTGGTTAGTTAAGTGAATTGAACTAATCAAGTGCGTTCCGTGACTTCGCGCAACAAGTGGCGGCAAGTGATATCAGGCCTCTGGCATTGTCTTTTAAGACTGCCGGAACACATCGAATAAACTGAATCCCGGCTCTGTGCCGGCACTCTTCGAGCACACGGCTGCCGACCCGCCGGACTGCGGGACCGGCTCGGTAGCCCCGGGCCTTGGATTATCAAGGACCATCCACCGAGGGGGCTTGAGCGACTGCTCGGCCCTCCCTTCCTCCCTCCCCCGGTTTCCAGCGGCGGTTCCGGTGCAAGGTAGGAAATAGCTACTATACAGCTTGGCGATCATACACAGTCTCAGGCTAGCACACGAGGCGTCCGTTGGGGCTCGCTTACTCACTCACTCGCCGCACAACCGACAGCTGAACACCGGCCTGTTAGGAATCAGCCCCTGGGAAAGTAACGAAGAGAACCCGCATTCAAACAATTTTATTTAATTTTATATACAGTTTAAACTTTGTATTCAACAATAACATCATTAATTCACTGTATTCTAATATCAATATTAACTGTAATTTTAGTCTTAATCAACTAATCCAAGTGGGCATTCATTGGGTGGAAAGCCGGCCGTAACCCACCCCGGGCTTTGTTAATTCTCTACTGCGTACTATTCAACACCGGATTTCTGTATATTTCTTTACCTCATTTTTAATTTCTAACTTAATTTAATTTACTTTGATTCACTTTACTCATTATTGTCATAATACCGCCTGCGGGATATTGTTTATGATTTTTAATTCGTATCCTATTGTGTATTTGAATTACCACTACTAGCAATAGGGACCGTGTCCGGATTGCTGAGAATCAACCCTGTACTCATAAAATTCATATAAAAAGTTCGTCTTCAACCCCCTGTGTGCATGTTTGTTCTTATCAGCAGTTTGCCTGTCTGCGTTGCTTGCTTTACATCAACTTGTTAATCTTTCGCGAGCAATTAATTGTTTAATTTAATTTAATTATCACAATTAAATAATTACACTTTTACCATCATCATCGTATAATCATATATTTCAGATTTAGTTAAAACACAGTTCAGATCAGATTGTTAAGTTAGCCCAGTTCAGATTGTTAAGATTTAATCGTTCAAATTGTTAAGATTGAGTTGTTCAGATTAGTTCAGGTCAGTACAGATTAGATAAGGTAACTGTTGGGATCTGATTAGATCAGATTGACAAATTAGATTAGTTCAGATAATTAAGATTCAGTTTCAGTTACAGCACAGTTCAGTTCAGATCAACTCAGGCCGGTACAGATCGGATAAGGTACTGTTGGGATCTGATTAGATCAGATTGCTAAGTTAACTCAGTTCAGATTGTTAAGATTTAGTTGTTCAAATTGTTAAGATTGAGTTGTTCAGATCAGCTCAGGTCAGCACAGATTAGACAAGGTACTGTTAGGATCTGATTAGATCAGATCGTTAAGTTAGCACAGTTCAGATGGTTAAGATTTAATTGTTCAAATTGTTAAGATTGAGTTGTTCAGAACAGCTCAGGTCAGTACAGATTGGATAAGGTACTATTGGGATCTGATTAGATCAGATTGTTAAGTTAGCTTAGTTCAGATTGTTAAGATTTAATTGTTCAGGTTGTTAAGATTGAATTGTTCAGATCAGATAAGGTACTGTTGGGATCTGATTAGATCAGATTGTTAAGATAGCCTAGTTCAGATTGTTAAGATTTAGTTGTTCAGATTGTTAAGATTGAGTTGTTCAGATCAGCTCAGGTCAGCACAGATTAGATAAGGTACAGTTAGGATCTGATTAAACCAGATTGTTAAGTTAACTCAGTTCAGATTGTTAAGATCTAGTTGTTCAAATTGTTAAGATTTAGTTGTTCAGATCAGCTCAGGACAGTACAGATTAGATAAGGCACTGTTAAGATCTGATTAGATCAGATTGATAAGTTAGCCCAGTTCAGATAGTTAGGATTCAGTCACAGCACAGTTTAGTTCAAGTTCAGTTTACCATTTAATATATTCAAACAAACTGCATATGCACACACAAACACACACACACACATTCATACACGTATACAACAAACACACACACACACGCACACACTCACACAGATCTCTTAACTAATAAGGGGCAGGATGAATCAAACAACAACTAAAACCTCTAATAAAAACAAAAGCAATAATAATGATAAAAATCCCGGGGAAACAAACTACAAACACGTTACTAATAACAACAACAAGGGCGATAGCAACGGCGATGCGCGCAAAGGGCCGCTCACTAGAAATAGGAAAAGAAGAGAAATGCTGATGGAAGAATCGGCCAAGGACCACGATCACTGTGACGACTCAACAATAATTTCTGACGGATACACGGACACCGGATCGACGGTCACCATCTCACCGGACAGATTTTTGGGCGTGACGGGCGAGAGACCGTCCGACTCGGACTCCGTGGACACTATAAACATTTGGGCATCACAACCCCCGCACCCTGCTCCCACAAGAACACCAGAGCCCCAACCGCCGTCTCCGCTCTCTCTCTCCTCCCTCTCGTCTTTGGCATTACCGGACAACTTGCCGAGGACACCTAGACTATCACTGTCGTCATCATCATCATCATTTAGCTCCACCTCCAGCCATGATACGGATAGAACTGCCGAATGCACCTCTCCAAAGGGCACCATCCCCCCCAGCACAACAACAACAACAACAATAACAAGAAACAAAGACAAAAGGAAGGGGGACGAGCCTTTCAGCATGGAGGAATGGAGAAATACTCCCAGCTGCTCATACGCATGGACGGGGGACAGAGAGAAGGAGACTGCGAGACGCACCGAACGGCCCCCCCCCACTGTCACGGCTCAGGGAGCAACAGAAGAATACCGCTGGCGAATCAGAGGGCACTGGGAGGGGAAGAATCATCAACAACAAAGAGGTGGGGGGAAAAGGGAAAGGGATAGGCAAAAGATCGCTCCCAACACCCGCAATCGAACCCATAGGGGAAAACGAGGAAAAGATGACCTCGGGTACCCCCCCCTCCTCCGCCGCCCCAGCCCCCCCCTGCTCAACCTGCTGACACACACAACGCAGTATCACCGCCGAAGGGAACAGGCGCAGGAATAATCAATGGGGCCTCTGTTAGCGAAAATTTAGACAAAACCAAAACAGAAACCGAAATTCAAACCAAACTCAAATTTACCGGCGTCCTCAGCGATAGCCGTGCAGCCGCCTCTGTCGCCGCTGCCACTTCTGCACCAACTCTACAGACGACGGGAACGGAAGAGGAGGACCCTTCCTCGCTCCCCACCGCCCCCCAGGAGCGCCCTTCGGAATCCTTCCTCCCCTCCTCCTCTTCCTCCTCCTCCTCCTCCTACTCCTCTCCGCCCTGCAAAAGGGAAAAAATGAATCACGATGAAGAAAATTCTAACTCCAACATCAACAACACCAAAGAAAAAAGACAGAATAAGAAAAAAGGAGCAGAATCGGACCGCCACCTAAATACAAAAACAAACAAAGACACGCACCCACTAGATGAGGCGGTGAAAAAATTGAATGCCATAATACTAGGACTAGCCGGCACACGAACGGGCACAGCCAGAACAATAAAAACGGACCCACTCTTCGCAACTGGGCTCCGTCGACACACGCCCCGCAGGTCGAACGTCAATGCAAACAGCAACAAACACACGGATGCATACAACACCGAAAGAATAGCTGCATTCATTAGGAATAGGTGCGAGGAACTCCTAAAGGTAGAAAAACAAGCTATACAACTGCGCAAACTAATAATCAACCTAGGCGGAAAAGACACTCTCTCGCGTCCCCCCCCTCCTCGGCACCCCACCCCCCCCTCCGCCTCCTCCCCCCCCTCCTCAGAATCAAACCCGGAAAACTAACGAGCCTTGCTCGGGAACAAGGAATGGCTATGTCATCCCGAAGCCTCAAACCGGCCTCACCACCTCCTCCCCCAATTCCTCTCCTCACCATGCAAGGAGCGGAAACGGGAATGATCACAGGAACAACGGGAAGGAGCCCGAACAACACACCAACGCAAACGAGCCGAGGATCAGGAGAAGCTACAAGCACCCGGACCTGGTTCAAATCATGAACGCACTGAGAGAACATCAAAAGATCCAACGGGAACAGGACCAGCGACTATCCCGTTTACAAAAGCAAATTGAGACGCTTCGCTCCGGTTACGCTCCCGGGCAAGAACGGATTACCCAATCTAAACCCGAGACCAAAACTAAAACCGAAACCCAAACCGAAACAAAGGAAAATGCAGACAGAAAGAGGAAAGCAACAAGAAAAAACAACAGAAGAAGGCGAACCAAAAATCATCGGGAGAACACCACCATACCTACACCCGCTCCACCACCACCACTACCACCACCATCAACCAACACCCCAACATACGACACCACACAACGAGCGCGACAACAAAGAGAAAGAGTCCCGCAAAACCAACATCCTAGGATTAACGAATCAACTCAACGGACGCAATTATCATCACAACCGCTTCCACAATCACCACGACTGCAACAACAACCCCTCTCAATATGGCAACGAGGGCGGCCGCAGTTACCTCAACGACAACAACAACAACAACAACTACAAAGATTTAGGCCTCCACCGCAAGGGGGTAATGTAGGCTTCGAGAGGATCAGCAAACAAAGCCCCTGGCGACCACCCGAGGAGATGGCAGGCCCAATCTCTTATCCAGAGGGTCCACCCTCCCAGTGCGGAAATCTATTCGAGACCCCCCCGATGCTCTCGTTACCGCCCATCTGCCCTCCCCGACAGTGGACGCAGGCACGGCCGCAAATCATGCCGCCGCCGCTCCCCCCACCATCACTGCCGCCGCCGCCGCCGCCGCCCCCCACGTCGCATCGACCTCAACGACCTCAACAACCGGCGCAGGGACATCAGTCTCAGGCACGCCCGCCGTTCTCACAACAACAAAATTACACGCCTCGACAAGTTCCAGGGGCATCCGGAGAAACCTCAAGTTATGCGGAGATTGTTCAAAAAAGACAAGTGGGCAAGAAAGGAGACACCATCCCGGCGAACTCTTCAACCCCTCTCCCACTCCCACACCCCTCCCCCCTCCCCACTCCCTCTAGATTCGTGAGAGGTCTGGGAGACCAACATGCGGACGGTCACGGCTGCGATCCCCACAATCCAATTAAAAACCCTTACTCCGGCGACGTCGTCACCACCACTGCGGCGGACTTCGCAGCCTCCCCACCTGCCGCTGCTACTCACCACCCTAGCCTGCCACATAAATCGATAAAAGGCCGCAACGACAATAACCAGGCGAACAATTGCTTTTCAATGCCCTCCAGTAACGAGACCGCAGTCATCATCGGCGGAATAGGCCTCGAAAGCGAACTCACCATAAGGGAAAAGGTCAAAGAATCTTTAAAGAGAGCGGTAATTAAACCAGCCTACCATAGCATAGAACCCCTATCCAAAGGAAAGGTGAGATTTGCATTTGACAACAAAACAATCGCCTCCAGGTTCATGGACGCCATCAACTATTATGAAAAGGAAACGCGCATGAGAGCAGAATGGGAGAAGCACCTTCGTCCGGCGGTCATACTAAAAGGAATATCCAATTCGATAGAACCACAAGACCTCCCGGGAATCATCATTTGGCAGAATGAGTGGTTGGAAACGAAAAACACACAGGACATACGCTTCCTTTTCACCGGCAACAATAGAAAGGCATCGACAAGGTACAACGCGATCATGTCCATAGCCCCTCACCTTTGGGAAAGACTGATCTGCAGCGGGCACGTCAGAATGGGCTCCGAGGAGATTCGGATCAAGGAATACTCAAACTTTAAACAATGCAAAGGCTGCCATCTGTTCGGACACACAGTCAGACAATGCATCGCCCCCCCCAAGTGCGGACACTGCGGAGACACCGCTCACCCCATTGACAGATGTCCCAATATCAATGGCCCACCCACATGCAGCAACTGCAAAGCGGCCAATATTAATCTAATATACAAGCAAAGATGCGACACCGGACACCTATTCAATAGTCATTCCTCCTGCCCCAGATTGAGGGCTATGAAACAAAAAATTAACAACAAAACAAGGTATGCCTAACAATAGACAAATAAACAAATGAACGTATACGCGACACACACGCACACCGACACACAGACGCACACACACACACGCACACACACAAACACACGCACATGCACTCACACACACACACCAGGGCGCTTACGCGCATGCAAGCACACATGCACACATGAACACACGCACAAACGCACACACACACAGACACACACACATCCATACCAATTACACGGGAGCACTCAGCGATACAACTCATCCTACGACAACAATAATGATAATAAAGAACAAATACAAACATCAGCAATCACATTGATAAATAAATGATTAGATAAATAAATAAATAAATAAACAAATGAATAAACAAATAATTAAACACACACAAACACAAGCAGGCAATGCCTACATGCACGAACGGGCGAACGAGCGCACGGGTGGATGAGCGAACGTGTGAACGAACAAACCAACCAACGAACGAAATGCACGACCCCCGTACAGCGGATTAAACAATCAGGGAAACCCGGAATCATATTCAATTCAATTCAAATTCGATCGACTGACCGAGCTCACAGAGCCAGCTTGCGGCCGACTTAACACCACGGAATTGACCCGCAGCGGACCCCGCCCTGCCATCTGGACAGGGCGAGGGCCCGAAAACACAGGACTAGACGTTGCATATTCCCATCCCGACTAGGGAGGGAATAAGACGCGGGCGCGGGTGGGTAGGATGCTGGAGACCTCTGAGGAGGGGATTTACCTTACTAATTAAATATTGCAGAGCAGGCCGTCCCACCCGCCACCCTACCGTCGCTTAGAGTCACCGGAGCCCCTTCAGGGAAACCGCTCCCCACTTAGGGGGGCCTTCAAGTCGCCACCCCGCTTCAAGGGGACGGGCGCAAAAACAATATAGATAAATATGTAAATATGTAAATATGTAAATACGTAACATACTCAATGAATAAGTTTGTACTGTAGAATAAGTTTGATTTAATAACAATAATAATAATCATAGCCAGCAATCTCAATTATCAGTGTGTTCAATTTGATTCAAGTAATTACATTATTACAATAGTAATAACTACCTTAATATTACACTGTATTCCATTATGCCGGACACCATAGAATAAGTTAAGTTTGATTCAATAATAATAATCAGAATCATAGTTAGCAATCTCACAATATTAGCGGGTCCAATTCGATTCAAGCAATTACATTGTCACTATAGTATTAATAATAATAACAACAATAATGTACAAATAAATTAATAAACAAGTAAATAAGTAACATATGCAATGAATAAGTTTGTACCATAGAATAAGCTCGAGTCAACAACAACAATCACAATCATAATAATGTAACCACAAAAAAAAAAAAAAAAAAAAAAGAAAAAAAAAAAAATATATATACTCTCATATATACATCCTACTATATAATAATAATAATAATAATTATAAGTCAGCTAATCAATATTGATTCAAACCTACCAATTAGAGAACTATCAAAAGCACACCCAACCATTGGAATTGTATAATATATCCAAACCATGTATAAAAGATAAAAAGGGTGTAACAAACGACATATATATAACTATAATTACTCTTTTACATAAGGTGATTGTCAATCAATTGTACTCAACTCATACACGCACCTGTAAATACAATCATTATTATTATATCATTATATTACCATTAGTCAATCAAAGCTGATCGGAATCCAATGACTATCTAGATCCAGCCAACAATCGATCCATAATAATAATAATAATACATCAATACAAGCTCAAGCTTAACCTCTCATCAGTACTAATCATCACAAGTCAATAACAGCCATTGGAATCCGACAGCAAACTTAATCCAATGTACAATCAATTCACAAGAGCCGTAATCAATTCAATTTAATGTAATCATCAGCTAGCCAGCAGGCAAACAGAATAGTCATTACCAGAATATAGTCATCCAATGTAATTCAATAACACCGATGTAATCTAACATACACTAGGCAACCAGCCTGACCTCTTCTTTGAAATTATA